GACACGGACGAATCACATCCGGTATGCCACGACATCGAACCTTGGGGTTGATGACAAGGGAGAGAAATGGCAGGACAGCGTGGTGTGTCAGAGTCTGGCATTCTGGAAGGAGAAGGACGAAGACCCGTCCACCACGTTCCGGTTTCTTCTCCTGCTCCTGCATCTTGACCCGTGTCCTCCCTCCCTTCCTTCCTTCCTCCCTCATTTCCTTATCTTCTTCAGCGCAAGACCGTCAAGTACGTCGGAGAGCTCGTCAAGTTCAAGATTTGTCCCCCCATTGTGCCTTTCACATTCCTCAACGCCTGCTTGGAAGCGTTTTCCCGCCACAACGTGGAGGTTCGTGCTGTCCGTTACCGTCCCTTTTGTAAAACGCCATCTCCCGCACCTGCTACATTCCCTTAAGGCTCCTCTCTCCTCCACTCCTTTTCTCTGCATCATCTTCCTCACCCTGTCCTCCCCGCCATCGGCCTCCTTACTCCTTTCTCCTTTCCCACCTTGCAGCTCGCCTGTGCCCTGCTGGAAAGCTGCGGACGCTTCCTCTTCCTCACTCCTCACACGCACACGCGCCTGAAGGGCTACTTGAGCACCATGGAGAGGCTCAAGCGGGTGAAATCGCTCGACCCCACCCTGGAGGTACGTGCACCCGGGGACGTGGAGGAGAAGCGTCCCCTTTCCTTTTCAAGGGGGCCAGGCCAGGTCGCGTCACGCCCCCTGCGTTTCTCGAGGCAGGGCTGGCGTGTCCTTCGAGCCATAAAGAATTGGGATAACCGTGTATCTTGTTCCCGTTGGCCTCGATCTTCCGCCTCTCCACTCTCTCCCTTGTCTTCTGCATCCCTTCCCGCCCCGCCCTTCGGTCCAGGTTTCCCCTCGCTTCCTCTTCCCCTCCTCCACCTCACATCCTCTTGCCCTTCCTGCCTCAGGTTTTGATCGACAACGCCTGCCTGATTTGCAACCCTCCTTCCCAGCGGACAACGACCCGGCAAACCGTCCTCCTTCCCCCGCTCTATGCCTACCTTCGTTTCCTCCTCTTTGAGCGCCTCAGCCCGAAAAACACCGACGACGTCCTCTATTCCCTGCGCAAATTTCCCTGGAAAACTCCGAGGGGGGGGGCGCCAGCCGAAGCCACAGGGTTGAGTGAGCTGGAAGTGTTTTTCCTCCGCTCGGTCCTGCAAGCCGCGCGGGGTAAGTTCCACGCCTTGCATGCCCTGGCGGACGTGGTGGCTGGCCTGGGGAAATACCACGAGAACATGGCCGTGAGCATGGTCGACGAGGTCTTGGAGGAGCTCAAACGGGGGTTGGAAACGGCGGGGGGACGCCGGGATCGGGACACCCAAGGCTTCTTGGCCCTCAGCCGTTTATTGGGCGAGTTTTATAACTACAATTTGATTCCTCATGCCTTGGTTTTCGACACGTTGTACCTTTTCCTGCACTACGGCCACGAGGTGCCTCCGCACCCCTCCCTGCCTTCCTCCATCCCGCCCTCGTTCCCTCCCTACGTCACGCACGACCCTCGCATCCTCACACCCTTGGATCCCCCCGCAGATACCTTCCGCTGCCACCTCGTCATCAACCTTCTGCAGGCCTGCGGTCCGCTCTTGGCGGGCAAAGGGCACGAGAAAGTGCGAGGGAAGCTTTCCCTTTTTCTCACCTACTTCCAACGCTACCTCTTTTGTCGCGGCTACGTACC